GACAGGTGTGTCTAGCCGGCCAGGTCGCCTCCGGACCCCGGGAAAACGCGGAACAAAGAGGAGGAACTGAAAGCTCTCGGAGCCCAGCCGCTCGGAGGCCCGCCGTGTAAGTCCGCCCGCGTCCCGGTGGCGGAGTCCCGCCCTGGGAGCAGCGCAGCGCTACCCCCGGCCCTCGGGCCCTGCCGGCTCTGCGTCCCCAGACGGCTGGTTCTACCCCAGCACCCGTGAGGCACCAACTTAACGGATGAAAGAGTACCGTCTAGAGACATCCCAGTAAAACTCCAAACCAAAGCAACATTAAGCGAAATTTCAGTCGCGCCCTAATAGCGTGACCGTTTACGTGTAAGCTCTTGGGTGTTCTGTGGCTTCAGGTTTCATCACTGTGTAGGTCTGTGAGCCTCCTTTGGAGACCCCTGGCTGAGCCCTGTAGAGGTGTGTGCAGTTGTCAGAGTTCCCAGGATGCACGTGCAGAAGTAAAAATCATGTAAATCTGAAGAATTCTGCTGTTCGTACTACCTGTGATGAAACACATTCTTAACACGTCCCAGTGGGTCTTATAATCCAGTTCATGTTATTGGCATTCTTTTTCCTATTCGTGTCCAATTCCTATTGCAGGTATTGTGCATTCTCAGTAAAGTACAATGAGAATTTGTTCTTTTACGTGTAGACACGTTTCAAAAATATATGCAAAACCGTTTGAATAACCGGGCATTGTCAGCTACACTGCCTTTTACTTCAGTGTTGTCGGACCATCTGGCTGAACAGCCAAGGTGTTAGCCCTGTCACTCAGCAGGACGTTTTGGACCCTATGGATCTGCTTTGACAGAAAGGTGGAGGGGGCACTTTGGGCAGGATGAGCAAAAAGGGAACAGGTTCGGTTTTTAAACCTTTTTGCAGTTCTGTATGTGGAACTGCACATTTTCAAAGCTTGTAACTGAACTTGTGTCGACCCTCAAATGCAAGTCAGAGATACACCTTTCAAAAGGTAGGAAAAAGGAAGACCCATCACAAATATGTGGCACCATCTAAGCAAACAGTAGCATGTTATAGAAAAGTTTTTCATCTTTTCTGCTGAAAAGTTACTCCTAAAAACTTTTCTGATAAAAGTGATGATGTGATCACTAGGTCTCTTCTTATAATACATTATAGGTAAGTATGAATAAGAATGAACAATAAAAGAATATGTTTATAGGAAATATTTTTATTTACATGTATTGCAGTTTTATTCACAGATATAAAATTATGTCTTATTACAATAGTGCTAAAGAAAATTGACTGGTGGCCACTAGGGTGTTAAATATTTTCCCCCAATACTCTGGCCACTGCATTTTGTCAAAAGGGTTATTTCACTGGTTCTTGTTTCCTCTATCTTAGTAATTGTTACACTAGAAATGAAAAGAAACAAACCAAAATTCCCATGGCAGGCTACTGTTGTTCTCTACAGTTCTTTATTTAGGTCTGTATCTGATTGTCAAACAAGATCTCTGAGTGTATAAATTACTCTCTGGGAATAAGAAAAAACAAATATACTAGCTTTGAAAGGAGTTGAAAATGATTATGTGTTTGAATTTTTTTTTAACTACTCTTAATTGTTAGGTAATCTGGGAAATGCTTTAATTCTTTAGGTCTTTTAATAAAAACGGTAATAGTTTACATATCAATTTTCAAATAGCATTTTCCTGCATATGTTTATTTTATCTCTATAATAATCATATAATGTAGGTATGAAAAGAATAAGTCTTTAATTTTATATGTGAGAAAATAGTTTGGATTAGTTAGGTCAGACATTCCAGGACGGGGAGCAGGGAACAATTGGAGTTCAGGGGCCTGATGCACATCTCTTCTGGTTAGATTCTCTCAGAAGCAGACACTGAAAAGTCAGGAATGCCAAAATGTATTAGAAGGTGGTGGGGGTGGTGTGACACCTATGAAAAAAAAAAGGGCTGAAGTAGGATTGGAGTTCCAGAGCAAAGATTGTGTGTGTTTTTTAAATTTATTTTATTTTTCAATTACAGTTTACATTCAATATTATTTTGTATTAGTTCCAGGTATACAACATAGTAGTTAGACAATCATATATTTTACAGTGTTCCTCCCAATATTTACAGTACCCACCTGGCACTGTACATAGTTATTATAATATTATTGACTATATTTCCTAGACTCTACTTTGTATCCCTGGGACTATTTTTGTAACTGCCAATTTGTACTTTTTAATCCCTTCACTGTTTTTACCCAGGCCCTCAACCCCCCTCCCCTCTGGCAGCCATCAGTCTGTTCTCTGTATCTATGAGTCTGTTTCTATTTTGTTTGCTTATTTTGTTATTTAGATTCTACTTATAAGTAAAATCATAAGGTATTTGTCTTTCTCTGACTGACTTATTTCACTTAATATAACACCCTCTAGGTCTCTCCATGCTGTCACAAATGGTAAGATTTCATTCTTTTTTATGGCCAAGTAATATTCCATTGCATATATGTAGCACTACTTTTTTATCCATTGATCTATTGATGGGCACTTAGGTTGCTTCCATATTCAGGCTATTGCATATAACGCTGAAATGAACATAGGGGTGCGTATGTTCTTTCAAATTAGTGTTTTGAGTTCCTTTGGATATATACCCAGAAGTGGAATCGCTGGATAATAAGGCAGTTTCGTTTTTAATTTTTTGAGGAACCTCCATACTGTTTTCTTTTATATTGTTTAATTTATTGGGGTGACATTGGTTAATAAAATTATATAGGTTTCAGGTGTACAATTATATAATACAACATCTGTATATTGTATTGTGTGTTCACCGCCCCAATCCGTACTGCTTTCCATAGTGGCTGCAGCAACCTGCATTCCCACCAATAGTGCACAAGGGTGCCCTTTTCTCCACATCCTCACCAACACTTGTTGTTTCTTTATTTATTGATGGCAGCCATTCTGACAGGTGTGAGGTGATATCTTATTGTGGTTTTAATTTGCATTTCTCTGATGCAAAGATTGTTTCTTAAAGAAGTTCCTCCATTGAGTGGAAATGGTTAAGCCTTGCTCAGTCATTGATTAGGAACCACCCTGAGAAAACCATACGATGAAAACCTGAAGCTGATTCTAAAGTCACAAACAGCTGGGGACTGTCAGCTAACCACATCCCTTGCAGCTGAGGAATGAGTCCTTTCCTGTAGGAGGATCTGATTGATGCATCTCCACATCTGCCACAGTTTACTTTATGTGCCTCTTGTATCCACTTCAAAACACATTTGGGGAGCAGTTCCTGCAGTGCTCTGGTGGGCCTCTCTTCCTGAGGGGAAACTTAGTAGAGGGAGGTTAGAGGGATGAACTATAGCTCCCGTGGTACAGTGGGTCACATGGCCACAACGATACTCATTGTCTCCCTCCTCCATCATTTGTTCTAACATCCCTCATTCTCTGCTGGCTTCAGTGGCTCATGTGGTGGTGGTTGCCAAACCATCACTTCTGAAGGGTCTGAGCTCCTAGTAACCTTATCTGTGTATTGCCTCCATTACTATATCACTACATTTGCTACACACATTAGGCAAGAGCTACCAGGAAACACCCAGTGGGTCACCTGGGTTCCACACACTTTCCTCCCTGCTTTCATCATGCAGTAGCAGCCCTGCCACTTCCTGCTGATCAGAATCAATTACCCTGACAAGATGGTGACTCCTCTTCTTGTCTGATGGTTCCTGGCCACACAGAGCCCAAAGTGTCCAGGTGGCAGCTGTAGCTTGTGGTTCCATGGGATCTTTGTTATCCCTGGCAAAAATGCATCCATTTGGGGGACCAGGACCTCTAATCCTACAGAATCCAGAGCTGTGGGGACATCTGGTGTATCACTGAAAGTGATGGTAAGTGAGGCCACTCCTGCTTCCACCCCTTGGTTAGTAGACCCATGTATTCTTCCTCTTGGGGACATAGTACCATATAAAGGACTGCAATTCAACATTTATACGTGTCCTGGAGGATGGTACCCCCATGCTTGCAGGGTGTTGCCTCTGAGATGGTGCTTTACCTGTTCATTCAGCACACCATGTCAACACTCTCTTTAGCCAGCAGCTTCTAGATGATTCAGTATATCATGACCAGTGGATCTATAAAATGGGTTCCCTGGTTGGACACTAAGTTTCATGTCTTTAGATCAGGCGTTTTGTAAGTGATAGGAAAGGCAAACCCATATCCATATTAAGTATCTATTTATTCTTGTGAGAAAAATCATTGGCTCTTCCAGGACAATACTAACATAGACCATTT